ATTAATTTTTAATTAACAAATCTGTATGTTTAATGAATTACATAAAAATGTCAAAATACTGATAATATTGTAAACTTATGCTCAGCATTTTTTAAAATTAAGTTTTAATCTGTCTTTTAAAATATGATTATCAAATGTGAACTTGCCACAGGTTAACAACAAAAAAATTAAACTATTTGTTCTATTCGTAAAACGTTTGAAAAGTATTTTCTTAAACTTATATTTCCATTAGAAGTTTGATCGTAAACTAGTTCCATTTTATTAAGCAAGCAAGAATATTCAATTTCAAAGTACTATTTCAGAATGTTTATTTTAATGTTTTTTTTTATTTAAACTTTATTACAGAAATATCTGTTAACACGACTATTTTTAGATTTGACTGTTGAAAATGTAGCCTCGCATAAACCTATTATACATTTAATATTCTATATAATTTACTTACAATAGTTGTACAGAAAGGTATTTTTTTATTTATTTATGTAAGAATATACATTTACGTATACAAATGAAGAATTCATAATAAACTTTTATCTGAAATGGCTATAAAAAGGTGTACGAAATAAAGCACTACAGTTTAATACATAAATATATTTATTACGGGTGTAAAAATTGTTAATAAATTATTAAAATAATTATTAAATTACATCACGACGAATAATACTGGGTAGAAAAGTTTTGATTCTCACAATAATCACTATTTTATACTGTTTATAAACATTACGAGAAATAAAAATACAAATATATAAATTTTATTCTATGGCTGCTTTACTTGCGAAGGACGTGAGGGAGGATATTTCGTTGGGGCTGGAATCAGTAGGCAACCGATTGAATTCTACCTCTTCTCCGTTCTCTCCACAAATAGGATCCGAAGGCCATTGCTTGTGGCTTGGAGCGTAAAGGATAAGCATAGCGCATATGTAGATATTCCACATGCCGTAGACTCCGGTGAAGAGCGCGGAGGAGAGTTCAATGTCCATGCTGTCGTCCCATTTGTGTTGTCCTTCGTTGATCTGACTCAGGATGAAGGAGACGATGGTGATTGCGGCGCAAATCAATGTGGCGAGCATAAGGAAATTGAAGCGGTAAATGATGCCTTCGTAATGCAATCTCCGAGCAGAAGACATGTTTGGAAGGACGGCGCGTTTGATGCTTATGTTCCTGAACACATTCCAAATCATGTAGCACAGGAAGATGAAATAAATTCCAGCCGAGATTCCAGCTAAAATGATAAAAGACAAGGCCAGATTAGTTCCGACCGGTGTAACCCAAATCGAGTAGAACGGATTTCGGAGTTGAACGCCTCTCTCGCACAAGTCGAAGATCAGTAATGAAGTACATCCGATGACGATGGCGCTAAGATGTTTCCAGTAGAGACGCAAAGAGTTCTTCTCTCCTTGATCGTTGATCAGCATGTGCTCTCCGGCGAAGACAAGCCAAAAGGATAGAAGCATTGCGTAGAAAATCCCTTGGCGAATGTCGCCCAGCAAAAGCATGTACGGCATTTCGAAGAAAAGAGTCAAGAACTCTAATGGTAGATCCAAGAATGCCAATGTTCCGCCTAATGATATGAGCATGTACTCTAATAAAGCTGGAGTTCTTTGCAGAATGTGTACACGATTCCAGAACCATGTCATTATAGCCAAAATAATCGGGAAGAAGACGGCTTTCATGCTCAACCAAACCCTTGTAAAGCCTCCATTCATATGAATAACATGCAAATGTATATCGCTGATCCATCCAATATTGTTCCTCTTCTTATCGGCTGGAAGACGCAGGTTCAGCATGTAATAATCATGATGCAACGAGCCCAATTCGAACAAGGGAACGGTAGTGCAATTATAAGGATACCCCTCAGAGTTAGCGTCTTCGACGTAATCGAAGCTACAATCCATCAAACGTTTCTCCTCCGCATGACTATAGTACTTCCACTCCGTATCCCCTTTGTTTTTGTAGAAGAGCCTCGCGTTCAGCGTCAGTTCAATGGACGGCTCCAATTTTAATTCCTTCTCATACAATAAATCTATCTGGATGACACCGACAAGATTCTGCTGCCAGCGAGAGAAATCCAACCGAGGCATCCCTAAAGGCATCGCGCCAACAAACACAATATCTTTGGCTGTGATGTGTTTATCAATAATCTTATCCCTGTGGCTCAGCTCAACTTTCTGCTTGCAGTCTCTGGCTATCCATCGGCTGGGATCTGTATTTTCAGGATGCGGATCGATGCATGCCGTGGAAGGATTGTCGAGTACCATGACAGTGCTGTTAAGCCACCAATTAAAAAACATATTACCTGACCGATAAGGAATACGGCCACCAGAACACTCAGCTTCCTTCCGCTCAAGTTTTCCAGAATCGTACCGGGCATCTTTGAAGATTTTTTTTGTAGAACAGCACTAGTTATTTGGTGTAAAAGATTCTGCGTCGCTCAAGCCGCCATTTGCACCGCGCCAAACACTGAAAGACACCGTTGAGCGCCACAACCGGATTGCCTTTGAACAATGCCGCAATCCATCCGCCTGCAGACAGTGATGGAGAGCAGGTAGAAAGAGGTAGAGTAATCTCCTGGAGATGCAGAATCCGCATCGCTCATACCACCTATATGCAACAGATCAAAGCCGAAGAACCGCGTTCAACAAGCGTCATCTGTTGCATAAAGGACAAATGATTATGTAAAGGGAAAAAGTTTGTTTCATCGGTTGCATATAAGTTTTTTTTTAGTGATGATTTTTTTTTTTTTTCCTCAATGTGACTAGGTGGGGAATTGATCCCGTTGCCTTTTATCTCTCGGAACATGTCGGTGAAAGTTGTGTGAGTGAAAACTCACGTGGCTCTCGTTGAAGGTGTGACGATTGCCTGGTGGCTCAGCTGGAGGAGGAAGGAAGTGCTGTCTCGGAAGCGGTGATAACAATTGATGTCATCGTTGACGGTGGCTCTTCTCAGGTGATTCAGGATACCTGAATCTATCGGGCTTGGTGGCGAAATGCAGGCATGACGGTGGTGATCCTCTCCATCAGGGCTTGCATTGCCAGGATGAGATCGGTGAACATTTCAGTGCTGATCGCTTGGGGGCGGAAACAGCTGCTGCATAACTGGCTGGTCTGGTTTGGCCACGAGGGGCCGCAGATGGCGACGGACGGGTCGGCTGGCTGGGCTTGAATTGCCTGAGAGCCTGGAGATTACGGTCAACTGCCTGAGCGTAACTCCTA